AAAAAATCACATAAAACAGAAAACTGGAACAGGAAAATACAAAGACGGAATAAGCCCTAATCCAGAAACTTCATGACGCTGAGTACACTATAATTCAGCTAGAAGTCTCATATTAGTTTAGAGAAAATTGCCATGTACTTCTAATCAGGAGACCGAAAAGGTTATAAGATTCGAAGTGGATTAAATACAGCAGCTTTCAGCTAGAAATAAAATAGAAGTAATTATTTTTGCACAGTTGAATATTAGACCTATTTCAGAAAAAAATACAACTGAATCAAGAAAATACCTTCTGCAATATCATGAACAAGTGCTATCTTGATACACCTGTTGTATAAGTTGATAATAAGACAAGATTAATTAGACTACACAAGTAAGCAAGTGAAATTAAGTAATTACTTATTGGTGCGTATCTGTAGCAAACAACAACAGACACCTTTCTTAGCTTTAAAAGAGTTCAGAAAGATTTATAGAGAATTGATGGGAATTGGGAAGTGTTGTGTGTATTATATCATCTTTGATGGAAAAAGCTTAAATATTAGGTTTCTTGAAAGAAGTAGATTACTGAAGTGATGCAATCCACAATTGGAGAAGGTCACAATATGTCAACGATTTAGGTAGTCCAGAAGCACTTGGATACACTTCATAAACAAAACCACGAGGAAGCCCAACTTAAATTTGCTTATTGTCAACGTATAAGCATCAGTGAACATAAAATCCTACTTGGATAGCTTTTAAAGTTGTATAAAATATCTCAATCATCTAACCAAAGGATTAGATAATCATACAAACAGACTCTATACTATTACTAATTTAGATGTAACTTGTAAAGAACATTTGGCAAGAATTGCTGAAATCAGATAGAAATGAAACCCAATTGGAAAGTGATAACATTTGGGTAAGGCCAAAATGACCTATAATACGTTGCTTAACCCAAAAAAAAAAAAAAAAAACTATGCTTAACCACTTTCATTATGCTCTCCAAATAATTTTCATAATCTGAAGGCATCTGAACAATGAAAGCCAGGACGAACATCTGATTAACTTATTCGCTCTGTCCTCATAGGTTTTCGTTCAGGTAACCTGAGTTCATTTTCACTCATGTACTTCATTCACCATGAAATCAATTGATCTTCCCTTCCCCATCTCCCTGGAGGCCCCCCAACACACATATACACATTTTATCAGCTATTATAAAATATGAACTACCACAGTTTCTTACAAATTAGCTCATGTACATAAAATTAACAAACAAGGATTACAAAAAACTGTGGAAATCTAACCTTTCCCTGTTCACTCCAGGAAGGTCATCAGCAATCAAAGCCATCAATGCCATGCGGTACATATGATCAGCAATAGATTCAGGACCCTTTATGTCATGATTAATCCATCCTTTTCGTTTTGTAGTCTGTGAGAGAGAGAGAGATTTATCGAACTGAAAAGGCAATCAACTCAAATAACTGCTAGAAGTGTCATATCTCTAAATATTGTATTAATAAATTAAAAAATTAGCCACAATCCATAAAATTTTACAAATAATTTTAAATACAGATGCCATAGCATGGTAAACTAAAACGATGAATTCTCTTCCTTTAAGTTCTTTTCCATGTCTTTTTTGCTTTGTCTTTTATGTTAAGCAACTTCAATGTTATGTACTAGTTCTAGATATCCACACAATAATATAATGTTTGAAATGATTTTGCTATAGAGGGTATGAAAAGTGATACCAGAACAAAAACAGCTTCGTTATCAGTAACTTTTACAATTCAAAAAATTGCAATACTCCAGGAAAAGGAAAACTAAGAGTGCCCAAGACATTATCCTTTAAAATGGTATACAAGGACTTAAGAGATATTGTTTCACCCGACTAGTGACCAAAAAACACAAAACACACAATTTTCATTGTAGTTATCCTACCCTTTACAGAGAGACGTGGTTCTTTTAATTATCCAAAACATTATACATGGTGCTCTAGATGACACTATAAATTCAGCATAAAGTTCACTTTAACCGCCTCTCCTGTTCCCCTTTTATAACATACTGCCTCTACATGACTTTTTTCCCTTCATATCCAGATATCTTCCATGGCCGCTCCCCCAACTACGGGTGGTGAAGAAATAAGTGATCCCTCAATCCACTCATATCATATCAACATCCTGCATTCTTGAACACTAGGCGTTTCTATTTTCTATCTTTTTTAGTCAGGATATAGCCTCTCGGGTACTAGCATCACAGTAACATGAGAAGATTAAAACTTTATCAAACACATACTCTAACCAAGAAATTAAACCACCATAACAAAAGATTAATAGCAAATTGTCACTTTCGGATAAAAAAATTAAAAAAAAAATAAAAATTGAATTAACTAAAATTATAAAGAATATAGATAAAATCTCTCAACTTTAACGGACATTATCATTTTTCTGATCACACTAAAAGACGTTAAGAAGGCAAACATTTATCGCAATTAACCCGACATTTACTCAAGCAAAACACCAGAATGTGTGCCTTTATTAATCTATGAATATACACACATACCTTCAGACGATGGCACAGAGTGAGGAAATCAATGGAAGCAGAAGAAGAGGAAGATGCATTCGTATGGATCGGGTTTCCAGGTACTGATCCCAATCCGGATGCAGCCTGGTCCATTTTGATAGAATCGAGATTGGGGTTGTTGGAACGCACCGAAATCAGCCTCGTACTTGGAGGGTCAGAGGAAAATGGAATTTTTATTAAGTTTTTGTGGGTAAAATTAGGTGAGGGATAAAAGTGAGAGTTAGATGATGGAGCAGCAGGAAAATATGGATTTGCTTTCGCAGCTACTGACGCCATTGTATATGTGCAAAAGCTTTGAGGACAGAAACACGAATTTTGTAGGAAGGAAAACAGATTCCTTCGTGTTTTTCGGGTTTTTGTCTGTTTCTTCCGTTTTTCTCTTTACAATTTCATTTTGCGATCTTTTTGGTGTTGGTTGATCCCATTCGGGTTATGCTTCTCGTGCAGAACTCGTACCCAACACTCATGAATCGATGAATCGGGGGTGCCTGGATGGAGTTTTTGTACTTTTTTATACATGTGGGTCCACGTGGGATCCATTACTGTAAGTAGTGGGAGGGGTTCTACTTCCCTGTGCACCCAACATTATCCACACCATTTTGACCCCATTTTTAATCATTCTTTTACGGCCATAAATTTTATGAATTTCGCGACTTATGTTAAAGGTGCGTTTGGTTGTAGGGATAAAATTTAGGTGGAAAGAAAACGAATTACAAATAATTGAATTGATTAGAACTTGTTTTACTGAAAATTGACAATTAAATATGTTTGATTGATATAATTTTTTACATGGAAAATGTTGAAATTTTTTATCTTTTAATGTTCGTTTAGCTTTGTTTTTCTTGAAAATTTTCAACTAAAGGGACAAAATTTATTACAATTGGGGATATAATTTGTTCCAATTGCCAAAAAAAATTTTAAAAAAAAAAGTGGTTGGAGGTGAGAATTGAATTTCTCCAAAACCATGGAATTGGCACGTGCGGAGGGAAGTTGGAAGACAAATTCCATGAAAATTTTTAGCAATCAAACAACACAAATTGGATGGAAATGGAAAATATTTTCCATGAAAAATCAAGGCTATCAAACATGGCCTTTCAATCACACATTTTTACCTAAGGATTGTGAATACTCACAAATCTTTAATTTTTTATTACTTTATGTTCATTGAAAAATAAAAGATTAATAATTGTTCGTTCATTTTTATACAATCATCAATGTCAATTCTGTTCGTATATATATTTCTGTTCTTACTTATTTTATATATTTCTTGTTCAATACAATTTAGTGTTGAAATTGTAGAGCTGGAAGTAGGATTCTAAAACTTTTTCAGCTTTACTAGTGTGGCAACGTGCGTTACACGTTGGTTTAGTTGGGGGTGACGTGAAGTATAAGTTTGTAGTGGTTGCTGAATAAATACATAAAACAAATGTGTTGGTACAGTGATGAAGTGGAATAATTTGAATAAACACGTATACTTATATTTCAACTTCTATAGTATAAGAAAAAAAGTTGACATTTGTCATTTGGATAATTGCCAATTTTCGAGAAATTATTTGAAAGGCCAATAGCTCAATTTTCAATCTTTTCACCTCTTACAAAGAATTTGAGTATGGTGCAAATAGACATTTTATTCACTTTGCTTTTCCCTTTAAAATAATTAATTAACTTTGAATATCATGTTGATAAAAAATAATTTAAAAGTAAGACTTATACAACAACAAATTGCGCTCTATATCACAGTCAGTAATGTAAAGATTGAAATAAATATTCTTGTGATAGAATAGGAACAAAGAGTCAACCTCAATTGTTAAGAATGTCGAAAAATAATTATTTATTTCGCAAGACTAAAATCTTCAATTGATAAATATAATAATCATTCAAGCTGCTATAATTCCCTACCTACACAAAAGCTAATAAAATCAAATGTAATATAGACAATCAAGATTATATTTACAAAATATGAGTTTTGACTATGAATATTAATTGTATCAACGTTAAACTATATTTACAAAATATGAGCATTCACCATCAACCTATCTCGCCTTTCCCTCTGTCCATGTTAAATTATATTCTCCCTTAAATTCTATTAATCTTTAATAAAGAGTTAATTTGTCTAACTGATTAATAATATGATAGCGCACTCATCGTTAGTCTATTATATTCACAAGAAAAATATGTTAAGAAAATTAAACAAGGCAAATTTGCAGCACATAAAACCAAAGAAAAACTATTAATTCATCCAGGCATCCCATCAAATTAAGCAACTAAATACCATCAAAAGATAGTTTTTATTTAACCAAATGAAATGTAATAAAAAAAATTTGTGTGTTAAAAGAATCTGATTTAAAGAGGAAAATGAAAAAATAGGATAGAAGTAGATTTTTTTTTACTATAAAAATGGTTGCGTGAAAAAGAAAGAAAATTTTATTTGACGGAACATATAAAAAATAAATAAATAAATTTTTTTTTTTTGTTGCTCCTTGCACACACGGAACAAAAGTTCTGAAGTTCCATACGTGCACGGAGCTAATTTTTTGTAAGTAGATTAGATGGTTAGATAATGTTAATTAAGGAAGAAAATGAGTTAAAAAAAAAATTGATGTGAACAAAAACATTTCTTTAAACAAAAAAATAATAAATAAAAACGAATAGCTCTGTGCATGCACGAAGCTTTAGCTCCAATATTTTTTATTATTATTATTTTTTAGTTTAAAGAAATCTTATTATTATTATTATTATTTGCCTTTGTTAAAAGAAATGTTTTTATTCACGTCAAAACAACATTTTAAACTTATTTTCATTCTTATTAGCTCCATGCACTGCACGGAGCTTTAGCTCCAGTTATCGTTTTTTTCCCTAAAAAATATTATTATTATTTTATTTTTATTTTTTTGCTTTTTGTTAAAAAAAATATTTTTATTCTTCATTTTCATTTGTTAAAAAAATTTTGACCATCCGGAAAAATGAAAAAAAAAAATCATTCATCCTAAAACACAAATGAAAAATGAAATAAAGCTCCATGCCAGCATGGACTAATTTTCCTTTTTTTTTTTTTTTTTTGTACGTTTTCTAAATTCTAAATTCATTGCACATAAACAATATTATAAATTCTTTTTTTTTTCTTAAAACTATCCATCTAATCTAATAACTTACAAAAATGCACAAAATTTTGATTTCCTAAAACACAAATAAAAAATGAAATATACACAAAAAAAGAGATTTTAAAATGAAAGGGGAGAAGAGTACAAACCTGGTATCAGACTAATTACTTCAAATCTTCTCTGTCATCCCCAAATAAATCTCCTCCATCCAAAACCAGTAGAAACTCCAGCGTCTACCCCTGTCTTCCGTCTAATAATCAATATTCCCAAGTTTTGTTCCTTTGAATATAAAATTGCAAGTGTCAACATTAATTTCAATAAATAGTTTTACAAAATTATCTCAAAAGCTAATTCACCATCATCTGGAAGGTATCTTCTAACAAAATTAATACGATGTCCGGTAATCAAATGAAACTTAAGAAAATTGATGATTGACTAAAAAGAACAAAAAATCAAAACATACTTAAATACAAATTAGAGAATTCTTCTGTCCATCCAATCCCAAACACTGCAGAGGAGACCTCCCACTTTCTACAACATCAACTGCAAAAACACAATTTTAATCAATTCCAAGAATCCAAAATCACAAACTAAAAAAAATCATTTGGAAATCTTGAATTATTAACAATACCAAACATTTGCAGTTAAAAATCTTCAATAATCGCTCAATGATCTTCTGATGGACAAGGCTATTCGAACTAAAAAAAGAAAAAAAGATCAAAGATCAAACAAAAGAAATGATATCTCCAAAATAAAATAAACCTTAATCAATGGAAATTTTGTTGCCACTGTACAATTTCTAAGTAGATTTTCAGCTTTTTAGAATGTTTACATACTTAAAATAAAAAAGAAATATCTAACAGATAAGCAGTAAGGTCGAAGAAAGTTGAAGAAAGGTACACAAGAACGAAGTTTTGAGGATTACATTTCAACCTTCTAGATTTTTCTGGGATTTCTCTATCCATAGAAGAGAAATGATACACGCTCGGTAAGATGAATTTGCTTTCTTCGCATTTTCTTCGTATCATCGTAGGAATAGGAAAGAAAGCGAGAAATCAGGTTACAGAGATCAATCAAAAGAGCAGAGGAATGGTCAATGGAGTGCAAGAAATGCACAAACGGTATGGAATTCTGTATGAGATTCAACCAAGACAATAAAGAACAAGGAAAAATTACAAGACGAAATCTATGGTCGACACGTGTCCCGCCTTTTCTTCACTCCTTTACATATGTAGGACAATTAAAAAAAATCCGAGCCAACAGATAGTGTTTGAGAGTATGAAATTCCATCACTTACAACAATGTATTAAATATATTTATTTTAACCTATGTTTGCCCTCACTTCTTAAAACTAAAAAAAAAAAAAAATATATATAT